TGTCCTGCTTTTGTGCCCATCTTCTCCTCTCATGGCTAATGCAGAAAGCGAGCAGAGTTGCTAAAAGCCTTGGCAGAAGAGCGACAGAAGGACTGGAGTGAGGGGAGAGATGCTCTCAAGCCCTTCAGGCCCCCTCCCTATCACTCCATCATCCCACTCCCTTGGGGACCCTGTGTGTATGGAGACTCCCAAGAGGGAAGAAAAAGGCAGGGGCCTGGGGATGCAGTGGGGGCTCAGGACTTAGTGTTGTTCCCAGTGTGAGAGCACAATGGGAGGGAGCAGTGGGGAATTAGAAGCTGGAACATCTGGGAGAGGCAGGCTGAAGAGCTGTGGAAATAGAAAGTGGCATCCGGTATCCTTGAAAATGGCCCCCCTGAGGCATAGACCTGCAAAATAGTAGCTGCAAAATAGAAATGATCCCTGTCCTCATGGAGCTGACTTCAAATGTAGCCCAATCCAAATATTCTATTACTTTCTGAACAAAAGTATTCAGTTACTTAGGCCAAATATCTTGGGATATTTTTGCCTCTTCTCTTTCTTTCTCTCACACCACTTATCCAATCCATTTGCAAGTCCTCTTTACTCCATCTTCATATATTGAATATATTCCAAATCTGACCACTTCTCACCACCTCCACCTCTATAACACCAGTCCAGGCTACCAACATCTCTTGCCCAGACCATTGCAGTAGCCTCCTGACTGTCTCTTAATAGCCCCCTTTCCCCGTGGAAGCCAGAGTGAACCTTCTGAAACATGAGACTGCTTATGTTATTCCTCTGCTCAAAGCCTTCCTGCAGCTCTTGATTTCACTACAAATTGAAGGCAAAGTCCTTGCAAAGACCCACAAACACTCATGGTCTTGCCTTTGGATGCCTCTTTAACCCCATCATACTCTGATAGCAATAACAGCTGGAAAAATGAAACAACATCCACTTCCTAGAAAAGGCAGGGAGAAAAGACAACCTTAGGCCTCCTATGCCACTAGCAGATTTTCCAGGAAGCACAGTGTGATGCCCTCCCCAAGTTAGACTCTGCATTAAATCGACAAATAGCAAGAACAGTAATGGAAGGTCAGAGCATTTTCAAGACATCACTATAAATAAAGTTAAAAATTAAAGACAAGCCTCAGACAGGAAGAAAATGTTTGCAGTCCTAACAAAAGATCAATATCTGGAATATATAAATAGCTCCTACATATCAATAAGAAAAAATATTCTTGTAGAAAAATGGGCAAAGGATATGCAAAGGCAACTCATAGTAAAACTGTAAATGGCTAATAAACATCTGAAAAAATTAGTCAACCTCATTAGTAATCAGGAAAATTCAAGTTAAAACAACAAAATATAATCTTTTGCTAGTGCAACTGGCAAAAACAAGAAAGACTGATGATATACAGTGTAGGCAAGGATGTGGAGAAATAAGAGTGCAAATTGGTACAACTTTTTGTAATTCGCATTCTATATCAAAACTTTTTAAATGCCTAAATTTTGACCTAGTAATTTTACTGTTAAATATATGTCATATGTCTATACTTGTGTCCAAAGTTATACATAGATTATTCACTGAGGCAGCTTATAAAAGTGAAAACTGCCAGAAACCTAAATGCCCATAAATAGGAGTATAGTTAAATCATGGGACATTCATACTGTGGGATAGTGTGCATGAATTAGACATCTATGTGCTGACATAGAACAAACTCCAAAACATAATGACAAATGTGTTTACTGAAGGAGCAAGTTACAAAACAATATTAAGGCAATATCCATTCATGTGGAAAGAAAAAAGTGAAGCAAAATCCTATATATAGATCTCTGCATGTTCATCCATTTACAACAATAATGCATAGAAAGTCCTGGAAGGATAGATATACACTTACTACAGTGGGAGAGGTGGGATTGAAGATGTGGAGGAGTTTCACTTTTTACTCTATTGCTATATTATTTGTAGCTTTACAAGAGTAAAGTGTTCCTGTATGATTTGTGTGATTAAAAGTTTGTGTAAATATACTCATATATTATTTACTTGATTTAAAAATTCATGTAAAAATTAGGTCTTTCACAAACACAGTGGTTTCCACACTCCTTAACTCCCTCGTACACCCATTTCACAGATGGGAAAGCAGGCAGAGAAAAGTGACTTGCCGAAGCCACATAAGCCAGTGGCAGGATCCCAGGATGGAGCTGATATTCACAGGAAAGTTATATCTGTCAGTCTGAGGTGGGAGCATGAGGGTATGAAACATAATCTTAATTCTCAAGGGACTTGCTTACAGCCTCACTGATGAGACAAACCCATAACATTCCAAGACAAGGTAGTCCAGCATGGTAAGAGCCAAATTAATGAGTTAACATTTATGGGTGCTAATTATGTGTCAGGCAGTACTAAGAGCTTTACGTGCAATAACTAATTTTATTCTCCACTGATCCTATGATACAGGCACTACGATTGTTATCCCCATTTTACAGGTGGGGAAACTGGGGTACAGATAAGTAACTTGTAAGTAAGAAGTACCTGAGGCTGAACTGAACCAGTCTCACTACAAAACTAAACCAGTTTTGGACTTCCCTGGTGGTGCAGTGGTTGGGAATCCGCCTGCCAATGTAGGGGACACGGGTTCGGGCCCTGGTCCGGAAAGATCCCACATGCGCCGAGCAACTGGGCCCGTGCGCCACAACTACTGAGCCCGCGTGTCACAATTACTGAAGCCCGCGCGCCTGGAGCCCGTGCTCCACAGCAAGACAAGCCAACGCAATGAGAAGCGCACGCACCTTAACAAAGAGTAGCCCCCGCTCGGTGCAACTAGAGAAAGCCTGTGAGCAGCAACAAAGACCCAACACAGCCAAAAATAAATAAGTAAATAACTGGGCTTCCCTGGTGGCGCAGTGGTTGGTAGTCCGCCTGCCAATGTAGGGGACACGGGTTCGTGCCCCGGTCTGGGAGGATCCCACATGCCGTGGAGCGCCTGGGCCCGTGAGCCAAGGCCGCTGAGCCTGCGCGTCCGGAGCCCGTGCTCCGCAACGGGAGAGGCCACAATAGTGAGAGGCCCGCATACCGCAAACAAACAAACAAACAAACAACTAAATTAATATATATATATATATATAAATAACTAAACCAGTTTTACTGCAAAACTCCCTCCTTTTTTTTTTTTTTTTAAAGTAATAAGCTCTTGGGGAAAACTTACAGGCCAATAGTCAGCAGAGAAGGGAAGGCATGGCCCCCATTCACCTGTCATCCCCATGCAGTGGCATGCCAGGGACAGGGCAGTACAGGTGTACATTCCAGGAGAGGAAGTTCCTTCCATTCCTCTCTCTTCTTGTAGGTCAAGCATGAGAGTAAGCTAATCGGTAAGTGATACTTGAGTGCCAGGCAGGCTGCAGGGTAGCTTCAGCTTTTGCTGTTGTTGATGTTATGAAAAATTTCAAACCCATACAAAAGTTGAGGAAAGTATGATGGATTCAATGTCCCAGAATGCTTTTGTCCTAAACCACTCCACTCGATAGGAAAAGTTTTCCTTGAAGAAATCAGAGGAGCTCGAGAAAGTCCTGCCTCCCCCATGGTGGGCAGGAGTGTTCAGGGAGGGCTGTGGGAGGGTGTGAGAGGGTGCTGGGCTGACCCTTTACTGGGGGCATCATCTGACAAGCTGAATGGGGAAGGGGAAGGCCGGCAGCCCACTCAGAGCTGGCTCCATGGGCCACCCAGCCCCGAAGCTGGGGGCAACCTGAAATTTAGAGTTTCTTCTTCTTCTCCTTCTTCTTCTTCATCTCCTCCTTCTTCTCCTCTCCTTCTCCTTCCCTTTCTTCTTCTCCGTCTTCTTCTCCTTCTCCTTCTCTTTCTTTTTTCTCTACTTGAGATATACTCTGCGTACTATATCTTCGTTTCCTAGAAGAAGAAACAGAGACTCTGAAGTCAGTACATTCAGCTTGGAAATGTCAAGACTGGACCAAGAACCCACGGTGTTTCCTTTTAACCACCCTCATCTCCAAGTCATGGATCCTCCTTGAGCCTCAGTTTCCTCATCTGTAAAAGCCACTAAACAGTCTATGATATTTTGTTATAACAACGTCAACCAAGACGGTTAAGTTAATAAAATTGTACTTAAAAAAAAAGCCAATAAACATTCCTTCCTCATAGAGATGCTGTGAGCCCTACGGGCAGAGCCATTCATTCACGGACTGAACCTTCCTTGAGCACCAGCAAGATGCTAAATCCTGGTCTAGGTGAGGGTAGAAAAGAAAAGAGGACAAAACCCGTGCTCTCACGGAATTTACATTCTAGTCGGGGCAAGGGAAACAGAAGAAAGAAAGAAAACAAAACAAATGGGGTAATATCAGATAGGGATGAGTGCTAGGAAGAAATAGCACGATGGTGGTGAAATGAGAGTGGTCAGACAAGAGTTCTGAGGAAGTGACATTTACTCTGAGACCTGAATTATCTGAAGGAGGCTGAGGCAGGGAAATTTGGGGGCAGGATGTCCAGAAATAGGACAAAGCAGAGGCTTCGGGGGAGGAACCAGGTTGTAAGAGACAATATAAGTAAAAGTCAAGTAAAGGTTATAGCATTAATTTAATGCAATAAGCTTTTACTGTAGTCCACTGTGTGCTAGTAAATGTATTAGGCACAGCGTTCAGAGATCAGTACAGCCTCGGTCTTTAAAGAGCTCACTGTCTAGGAGGAGATAACAGAAAACGGATAGTTTCTCAGCTGATGAAATGGTGCATTTAATCAAGAGGTGAAAAATTAATTTTTATTCTTGTTTTTGCAAGTGTGTCCAGCGGTTGCAGAGACACTGCCATAGGAGATCACTCAGGTGCCGAGGTTACGGCGCCTGGTTCAATTTTTCCTTCGCAGCCCCTGGGCCTCTAGGGCTTCGATCCCCCTCCGGGCAGCAGGGTGCGCTATACCGTCTCTCAGGGCCGGCCGGCCGGGTGCCGCGCTCTCTCCACTTTCCTTCTCGCTGCACCGCACTTCCGGTGGCTAGCGTAAGCGGGAGCCGGCAGCTGCGGGCATCTGGTTCCACAGCATGGCGGGGGCGGGGCTGGGTGAGGCGCGCGCCAAGCAGGCCGGGGAGCCCCTCGCCCCGGCCCTTTGAGCCCGGACCGGACAGGTGAGGACTTCTCCTTCCTTGTTTCAGCCTCCAAACCCGTCAGGCCCTCCCCGAGGCCTCTTCGAGTTACCGCCATGGGGCTGCCCCCTTCCCGCCTGACGCCGAGGCCCTGCGGCCCCCGCCTTCCCTCAGAATTCTCTTCCCATTGAGGCCCCGCCCCGGGCTTTTCTTTCCGGGGGCGCCTTGGGCGTGTGTGCCCGCCCCTGGGTATCCCCTTCCCGTTTAGGAAGCCGTCAGAAGGAATTGAGGGTTACGTGCACCTGCCTGCCCGGGGAAACAGACCTAGCAGGGAGGAAGGTCTTGCTTAGTACCGCACGAGTTAGTGGCCCAGTTCAGTCAGGCTTTTTTCTTTCGTTCCATAGATAACGTACGAACGCATGCAGTGGGGCAGCCCTAGTGCTAGGCTCTCTGAAAACTAAGGTGACTGAAGTAGCCATGGTTACGTCCTGCCTGGAGAGGATAGTTTACAGGGGAGTCGAACATTAAACACCTAACCATGCTGCTGAAAGTACAAATTCAAATTGTGGCAATGGCTATGGAAAAGAACAGAAAAAGTAATGGTAAAGCAGCAAAGATCTCTTTCGGCAAGGGTGTCAGAGCAGACTTCCTGAACGAGAGGACACTTGAGCTGCGGCTTGAGAAGTATGGCAAGGGCCAGAGGAAATATATGCTGGGCAGAGCGAACAGCACCTGTGGATATTTGAGTTGGTAAAGAACGTTCAGGAAAGGAGGCTTTCGATGGGTCAAATGCTGTGATGGGCATACAGGATATAATGTTTGTGTACCGGTCAGGAGTTCACCATCTAGTGCCACAGACATAAGTAAAATGCAGAGATGAAGTTGCAAGCGTGGTAAGTGCTAAGAAGGAGAGGTATGGCTGGTGTATTGGTGTTTTATCTGGTGGGAAAGGTTAAGGAGGACTTCTCTCAGGAAGTGATGATTAGGCTGATAACCTGAAACAGGAGTTAACTCGGCAAAGTGAAGAGAAGAGCTTTTTTTAGATTGAGGTGAAGAGCATGTGCCAAGGTTCAGAGGCAGGAGGTAGGCCACTTGTTGAAGAAATGATTAGAGTGAAATGGGAAAAGATGAGGCTGGAGAGGCAGCACTGAGCCTTTGAGGCATCTGGTTGGCACGGCAAGGATTTTGATCCGTATCATTAAGAGCAATGGAAAGATATTTGTTTTAATCTGTAGGGGAAAGAACGTGATCAAAAAAGCATTTTGAAAAGATTGCTCTGGTAAGTGGATTGGAAGTGGATAGGAGTGGATTTAGGGAGACCACTTAGAAGCGGTTGCAATAACGTAGACGTGAAGTTATAAAATTTTGGGTAAGGGTACTGGCAGGTCATGATAGAAGAAGGTGGAGCATTAGAGGACTGTTTAGGGGGTAAAATCTCCAGAGTTTGGTGACTGATCAGGTATGGGGGCTGAGGGAAAGAGGTATCAAGGGAGACTCTCAGCTTTCTGGTTCCTTTTAGCAGGTGAATGGCCATGCCATTTACTGGACTAGGGAAACGGGTAGAGGGCTTCTGGGAAAAATGTAAGTTACTCTAATGTTTTTCATAACTCCCACTCTGACTAGAAGGGACTTTCATGATGTACTTTTTCTGTATGGTTTGAGTTTATGAGCATGTATTTTATAATTGGAATAACAAGTTGAAAAAGACTAAGAATTCCACCATCTCTCTAAAAACCATAATTGTGTGATGTAAAATATGGAGAGGGAGAGAGAGCACACTGAGAGAAGGGTTAGGAAATTAAGTGTGGATTTTCTGTCCAATTTGGAGCTGAAGCCAGCAGGCCTTCACCTCTACCCACCCCACCCCTCTACTCCCTCCACCACAGTACTGGTGGCTTTTCCCTTAAAAAGACAAATTGGAGAATTTAAGATGGGACTGTTCAAAATATATACAGATTTTTTTTAGAATTAAGCATCTGCTTTGCTTAAAATGATCAATGGCTCTAAGTCGAACAGCTAGTTTACTTTATCTGATTCAGTTATATGTGGTTAGTCTGCTAGATGTTGTCTGATGCCTACTCCTTCTTCCATTCATGGGCCTTACCTGCCTATCGCATCCCCTTCTGGTCTCCCTCTCTGACTCCAGCCCGCATCTTAGTTTCGCAGGGTGCTAGTGTCAGAGGTGTCCTGGGCAGGGATTGAGGGAGGCAGTTTTGTACAGTACTTGGTATTTTAAAATGCTTAAACCTTACCAGTATGTTTTTTGGACTGTATCAAAATGGGCACATCAACTATGTCACTGTTAAAAGGAGTAGCCGTGTGAAACTCAGCATTGTGTTTATTGTTCAGAAGTGGAGGCTTTGCTCACTGTATCATGCCAAGGTCCTTTGAGAAAACTCATGAGAGAGATTTCTTTTAAAATCCAGTGATGGGTATTGCTGTGCTTCTTCCAAGCAGCTATTAAGTTTTTATCTTCTTGGCAGTGCAAGTTCTATAACTGACTGTATTTTCCTCTGCTTTGTCTGCTGAGAAAGTCAGAGCCAAATTAGAAGCTTGTCCGTTCTGCAGATCCTGATGGCATGAATTTTTGTGTACTTCAGACTTCATTTTATTGTCCTACCTTTGTTTTCCCTTCACAATGATTATTTTCTAATTAAAAAAAATTCTGAGTAAGCACAAATATTACTTAAAAAACATATGTAATTTTAAAAGAATAACAGTACAATGAATGCTGATTGAAGGAAAAAAATATACACTTAAAAGTACCAATGTGTCCCTAACTCCCATCCCATTTCTTACTTCCTCAGAGGTAACCACTATTTTGAATTTTATGTTTATGATTCCTTTGCTTTTTGTAATTGTATACCACATATATTTGTATTCTTAAAGTGGAAATTGTTTGAAGCTTATATAAAGGAAATCACATTGTATGTATTCTGTAGCTTGCTTTCTTCATTCAACACTGTGTCTGAGATTCATCTTTGTTGTTATATATAACTGTAGTACATTAATTCATTACTTCATAAGGTTACACTGCTTGGGGAATTGCCTGGCAGTCTAGTGGTTAGGACTCAGTGCTTTCACTGCTGGGGCCTGGGTTCGATCCCTGGGTTCTATCGCTGGTCCGGGAACTAAGATCCTGCAAGCCACGTGGCGTGGCCAAAAAACAAACAAACAAAAACATTAAAAAAAAGAAAAAAGATTCCGCTGTATGAATATGCATGGATGAATTTATCTAGTCTACTGTTGATGGACATTTGGAGTGTTGTCAGTTTTTGCTGTTGCTAACAGTCCTGCTACAGACATCCTTGTATATGTCTCCTGTTACGTATGTGCAGACACTTCTCTACATCAGGATTTCTCCACCTTAGCACTATTGACATTTTGGGCTGGATGTGAGGGACTGTCCTGTTTACTGTAGGATGTTTGGCATCATCCCTGTCTTCTGTTTGATGGACACCCCAAGCACCCCTTCCTCCCTCCCAAGTTATGACAACCAAAAATATCTTCATATATTACAAAATTGCCCCATTTGGGAACCAGTGCTCAGGGGTTGACAGACTTTTTCTGCAAAAGACCAGGTAGTTAATATTTCAGGCTTGTGAGCTGTGTGGTCTTTGGTGTTAATAAATGAACTGTGCCTTTGTAGGGCAAAAGCAGCCATAGGCAAGATGTAAATGAGTGTGTATGACTGTGTTCCAATAAAACTTTATTTATAAAAGTAGGCAGGCAGCCTAGACTGGTCTGAGGCTAGTTGTTTGCAGTCTTTTGGTCTAGTCTAGATCAGTAGGAAATATATTTTATATCCTCACCCAGTGCATGTAACTCACATATGTATTGAAAATATGTGATACAGTTTGGTATTTTCTGTTTTATTCCATTTTTTGAAATGTCAATTAGTATATGCACTAGATTGATTTCAAGCCTCCATCAGTGAGTTGTGACTAGCAGTTTGAGAAACTTGATTTGCTCAATCATAAGGTATGCACATTTTTAACTTGACTAGGTAGTATATATACTTATATAAGGCATTTCAGATCTCTTTTAGGAGACAGAATATAAACAAATTCCCCATTGTCTGTATATTTTTATTTCTAAAGTATAGATTGGATAGAGTCACTCCTCTGCTTAAAACCTGTAATAACTTGCATGACGTGGCATACAAAGGATTTTCCAGTCTGTCTGCAATCTGCTTTTCTAGGCTTCTCTTATCACTCTGTGTTTCCTGTGTTCTAACCACTTGGTATTGTGTTTCCCAAATGTGCCATGCTACACTCTTTTTAAGTATATTTTTTAAGCTACCTTCTTTCTGAAATGTTCCTCCTTTATTTTGCCTAGTGAGTTCTTTATCCTTTAAGACCTTTGTCAAATGTTGTTCCATTCATTCATTTAACATATTTGTTAGCATTTACTGTGCCTCAGGCACTGTCCGAGGTGCTGGAGATTCAGCAAGGAATTAGGCAAGGCCCCTGCTGTCCTGTATGGGGGACAAAGATGCTAAAAAGGTAAACAAATGGTTTCAGAAGGTGATAAGGGCTGAAGAAAATAAAACAGTAGGTTGATATGGATGGAAAAAGTCATGACTTTAGGTAAGGTAGTCAGGCAAAAACTCAAGAGTTGCTATTTTGGCTGAGATTTGAATGATGAAACAGACAGCTGTTTCAGCACTTTAAAAATGTTGCTTTGCTTCTTTTTGGTCTCCATAGTTTCTCATGAGACATCCACAGATAAATGAATTGTTGTTCCCTTATAGGTAATGTGTCATTTACGTGGTTGCTTTCAAGATTTTTACTTTGTGTTTTAGTTTTTCACAATTTGACTGTGGTATGCCTGGGCATGGATTTCTTTCTTTCTTTCTTTCTTTTTATTTTAAATAAATTATTTATTATTTATTTTTGGCTGCGTTGGGTCTTCATTGCTGTGCATGGGCTTTCACTAGTTGCGGCGAGCGGGGGCTACTCATCATTGCGGTGCACGAGCTTCTCATTGTGGTGGCTTCTCTTGTTGCGGAGTACGGGCTCTAGGTGCGTGGGCTTCAGTAGTTGTAGCTCGCGGGCTCTAGAGTGCAGGCTCAGTAGCTGTGGCGCACGGGCTTAGTTACTCCGTGGCATGTGGGGTCTTCCTGGACCAGGGATTGAACCCGTCTCCCCCGCATTCGCAGGTGGGTTCTTAACCACTGTGCCACCAGGGAAGTCCCTGGGCATGGATTTCTTTGGGTTTATCATGTTTGGGGTTCTCTGAACTTCTGATCTCAGGTTTATATATGTGAGGGTTTATTTCTCAGCTCTTAATTCTGTTCATTGGGTATATTTTTCTGCCTTATGCTAGTACCACACTTTTTTGATTACTGTGGCTTTGTAACAGTTTTTGAAATCAGGGAGTCTGAGTCTTCTAACTTTGTTCTTTTACAAAATTGTTTTGACTCTTCACAGTCCCTTGAGATTACATGTAATTTTTAGGATGAATTTTTCTATTTTTGCCAGAAATGATTTTGGGATTTTGATTGGGATTTTGCATTGAGTTTGTAGATTGCTTTGGGTAGGATGGACATCTTAACAGCCCAATAAATATATTTTTTAAATGAATGTACATTGAATGTGGTGTTTACACTGAACAAATTTGATGTAGTTCTAAGGTTTGTTCTGTTGAACATTCCCAACAGCTAAGCATGCTTTGAAGGTATTCCTAGGGAATTAGTTCCTTCCCTCAAACCTGTTTCTAGACTCAAAAATGTCCTGACCACTTTCTAACTATAACTTGGGAAGAAGGAATGCTGATCACTGTCATCTTGGGAGCTCCTAGGTCCAGGATATATGGAAGGAAATCTATTTGACTTGTATATACACAGTTGGCCCTTGAACAACGTAGATTTGAATTGTGCAGGTCCACTTACACATGCATTTTTTTCATCAGTGAATACTGCAGTACTAGACATCCCCGGTTGGTTGAATACGTGGATGTGGAGGAACCATGGATAGGAAGGAACAATGTATACTGAGCTGACTATAAGTTATACTTGGATATTCAGCTTCAGGGGATTGGTGTGCCTAACCCTTGCGTTATTCAAAGGTCAAGTGTGTTTGTGTTTTGGTAAATTTTGTTTTATTTTCTTGACTACTTCTTTACTTCTCCCTGCAGAGATGTGATAATGGATCATCATGTTTCCACCATCAAACCTCGAAGAATCCAAAACCAAAATGTCATTCACCGCCTGGAACGCCGGCGGATCAGTTCAGGCAAGGCAGGCACCCACTGGCACCAGGTCCGAGTGTTCCACCAGAATGTCTTCCCCAACTTCACGGTCGTCAATGTTGAAAAGCCCCCTTGTTTCTTGCGTAAATTCTCACCTGATGGACGCTACTTCATTGCTTTCTCTTCAGACCAGACATCTCTCGAAATCTATGAGTACCAGGGCTGCCAGGCAGCTGAGGACCTACTGCAGGGCTATGAGGGGGAAATCCTGTCCAATGGCAATGACCAGCGGTCAGTCAACATCCGTGGCCGGCTCTTCGAACGCTTTTTCGTCCTGCTGCACATTACCAATGTGGCAGCCAATGGCGAGCACCTGAACCGGGAGTGCAGCCTCTTCACTGATGACTGCCGCTGTGTCATCGTGGGCTCAGCTGCCTATCTCCCAGACGAGCCTCACCCTCCTTTTTATGAGGTATATCGGAACAGTGAGTCCGTGACCCCCAACCCCCGGTCCCCCCTGGAGGACTACTCCCTCCATATCATTGACCTTCATACTGGCCGCTTATGTGATACACGTACCTTCAAGTGTGACAAAGTCGTCCTGTCACACAACCAAGGGTTGTACTTGTATAAGAACATCCTGGCCATCTTGTCAGTGCAGCAGCAGACCATCCATGTCTTCCAGGTGACTCCTGAAGGCACTTTCATTGATGTGAGGACCATTGGCCGCTTCTGCTATGAGGATGACCTGCTCACTGTGTCAGCTGTTTTTCCTGAGGTGCAGCGGGACAGTCAGACAGGCATGGCCAATCCTTTCAGGGATCCCTTCATCAACTCCCTGAAACACCGGCTGCTCGTGTACCTTTGGCGCCGGGCAGAGCAGGATGGTAGTGCAATGGCCAAGAGGCGCTTCTTCCAGTATTTTGACCAACTGCGGCAGCTGCGCATGTGGAAAATGCAGCTTCTGGATGAAAACCATCTGTTTATCAAGTATACTAGTGAGGATGTCGTAACCCTGCGGGTCACAGATCCATCACAGGTACAAGGTGCTCTCCTGCCCTTTACCCCTCCAGTCTCCTTGGCACAATGGGAAGGTTTCTCTCTTTGCCTATAGCCAGTCTCTCAGAAATAACACATTTTATGTAATCTTGAATTTTTGCTATCTTCGGGCTCATACTTAAAACAGCTCGACTTTTCTAATCATTTCTCAAAATGATTTTTCTCATTTGGACAAATGGAAGCTATATCGTAAGCCATTGACATGTAGGTAGTCAACTCTGTGATTATTACCCTAATTCTTCTGCAGAGCATTTTCAGTACCCTTGAAATGGAAGCCCATATGCTACAGGGTCAAGGTTTGACTCCTGCCTTGATTTTGTTTAAGATTGTGCTTATTGGTCTGCTTAGTTCTGGCAATGAGAATGAACCCACCATACGAAAAAGAAAATCTTCTAAAAATCTAGTCTTTCTTTCCTACTTAAATGATGTCAGTATACTTCCTCACCAAATCTTCTTTAGATTGTAACAGGTAAGTTCATTTGATGGAATTAAGCGTTATGACTGTACTCTGACCTTGCCCGTGTGCTGGAACATAGGTTGTGGAGCAGTGAAAAGATCAAAAGGAAGCCAAAAGTTTTGATCTACCAAGTGAATCATCAAGACTGCAGGTTCTGAGGGTTTTTCAGTTTGGGTGAAAGATGTTGGTAGGGGAGAGAGGCATTTCACAAATAGGAATAACGTGGTGTTAAGAGCATGAAAACCTCTAAGACTTTGGGGTTGAAATACCATATTGAAATTCAGGGTAATTTGGGCATTTCCTTTTGAGAAGCTCCTTACTTTAGTGTTGACCAAGTGAGAGACCTACTTTTCTGTACGTTTGTCCCCCCATTCTCCTATTTCCAGAGTGTCTCCTTAGATACTAGTTTGGAAATTTAGAACAGAACAAACCAGTAAACCACGAAGTCAGCTGAGTCTGGTTTCTCTCATTGACTTGCAGCTGATTCTGCCTGTAACAGTTAGAGACTGTATAAAGAATTGTCTCCTAAGACCGTACCAGCCATCCATGGTAAAATGTTTTCTATTATTTTTCTTCTGAATCATACCTTGTATATTCTAAAAAATAAGGGGGGGGGTGGTGAGTAAAATGGTTAGAGATCATTTTTTTTCTGAATTCTTTTTCTTCTCTATTAATGATGATGTCACCCATTGAGCCATCATGGGTGAGCCCATCTAGTTCATGTTATGAGTCATGGGAGGTTGTCCGTGAAGCCCTTGACTTCTGTACCCTCCTGTCCTGTATTTCCCAGTCTGGCCTGGTGGGAAGGCTAGTAAATGTTTGTGTAATTCTATATTCACATAATTATGATGGATCCTGGTGAAGCCCTAATATGATCAAAGCGTTGTCCAGGCTTATAGAAAGGACATGTATTTAGGTTTGAGCTATAATTACCTTTTTATTTTGGAGGGAATATGTTGTGTGACTGCTGCATTTGAGATTATCCTTTTTTCCTTTGCTAAAACATGACCTACTTATATCCGGTAGCTACAGTAGGTTGTAGCCAGAAACATTACAAGGGCTCTATGCTTTGCTTACAGAATTTGTAACTTTAAACCCAATCTCTCTGCCCTTGTTGTCCTCCCTCCTCCTTTCCCAGTTTAATTTGATAGGTTCCAATAAGGTTAATAAGTAAAAAGTGCACCTAAACACAAAGCCTTGCTAATATTATGGGTATTATTCTCAGGTTACTCTCCAGCCTCTTTAATTTACAGCCAAATTTAATTTCCAGGTGACCGCAAAAGTCATGTAATATAAGCTTTGGGAGGGACTAATTACTATTAAAACAGGTGGGCCAGATGTCTCCAGAAATTGGTAATGGAGATTTAAATTCAATCATAAGAGGCGGAATACTAATCCTAGTGTTCTGAAAACTTCTAGAGTCCTGTTGGAAGCTTGCAGATTGACTCACACTGCCACATTCACTGTGATAAAAACTAGAGGTACCTGGCACTTCCTTGTTAGGCTGAGCAGAGCACTGGAGGTTTAAAGAAGAGGGCCAGTCACCCAGGGGCTTATTCAGAGAAAGCAGTAACTCTGCCACCTATGGCATTTGAATGGTTTTCAAGTTCCCCCTCTGAAATTAATTGTTACGAATCTCAAATGTTTGTTACAAATGCTCTTGGCTGAAAGAACATTTATGAAGAAAGAAATGGAAAATGCTTTTCTGATTTTTCATGTGTTCAGCAGCAGTCCCCTGCTTGGTTACAACTTGCCTAGGTGGACACAGTGTACTTAAGATGTCTTTCTGCATGTTAGAAATATTAAGAGAGAAAAAGAAATGCCCCTAAATTGAACTTTCAACTGTACGTATACAAGAGAAAATAATTTGCCAACAGGCAGCTCCTGGCTACAAATCACTTTCGCAGCAGGAAGGAAAATTAAATCTGGCATTTTAAAAAAGTGGGTTGGGGAGTAAGTAGGGAATAACACTTGGAAGGCAAAATATTAAATTTTCATACAGCTTGAAATGAAAGATTGAAAACCTTCTTATACATATATGCTGAACAACTCAGTAATTCCAGCAGATACAGTGGGAAATCAGGCAACACTGAGCCCCTTGATTGATCAAGTCCACTGAGGCTTCCTCCTTTTCCAGGACCTCTTGGCACCATGTTTCCACCATAGTGCCGGAGTGGAGGTGTTTGCCTGTTTTACTTGGGCAGCTTGATTTTCAACCAAAAAGATATTTGCTAGGCAAGGCATTATACTCAGCTATTCCTTAGGTCTATCTGTTCTTCCGCAGGCATCTTTCTTTGTGGTGTACAATATGGTGACAACAGAGGTGATCGCTGTGTTTGAGAATACATCAGATGAGCTTTTGGAGCTGTTTGAGAACTTCTGTGATCTCTTCCGTAACGCTACCCTGCATAGTGAAGTCCAGTTTCCCTGCTCAGCTTCCAGCAACAATTTTGCACGGCAGATCCAGCGCCGGTAAGCTGTTCCACTAGGCTTAACAAGCTTAATTTTTCTTCAGAAAATTTGTTGGTGTGAAGCCAACAGTCATTTACTTCAGGAAACCTCATATTCTTTCTGCCCACCTAGGCTTGGGTCAGTCTGCCTGTCATAACCCATTGTGTCATCCTAAACTTCTCTTTTCTCTTTCTTAGCACCTGAGGAATTACTTGTGTGTTGTCTATGATTCCTCCTAGACTGTATGTTAGCTGCAGAAAGATAGAGACCCTGTCTTTGTTTAGTTCATTGCTATATCTTCAGTGGTGCACTGTCAAGCACTTAAATATTTTTTGAATGAATGACTAAGGACATAATTTTATAACTTTTGGTTAAACATGTGTGTTGAACACGTGCATTTATCTCTGTTCCATCCCCAAACCCCACTAAAATGACAATAAAGGAAGAAGAGGGACTTCCCCGGTGGTTCAGTGGTAAAGAATCCGCCTTGCAATGCAGGGGACGCAGGGTCCATCCCTGGTCGAGGAACTAAGATCCCACGTGCCACAGGGCAGCTAAGCCCATGTGCCACAACTACTGAGCTCACGCGCCTCAACTAGAGCCCGCGTGCCGCAAAACTACAGAGCCCACGCGCTCTGGAACCCATGCGTCACAAGTACAGAGTCTATGTTCCCTGGAGCCTGCGCTGCACAACTAGAGAAGAGAAAACCCGCATGCCACAACTAGAGAGAAGCCTGCGCGCTGCAACTAAAGATCCTGCATGCCTCAGCGAAGATCCCATATGCTGCAGCTAAGACCCGACACAGCCAAAAGTAAATAAAATAAATAAATAAATAATAAATAAATCTTAAAAAAAAAAGAAGAGGTATAAAGCTACAAGAACAAAGAGAATGGGGAGGAGATATCAAGAGAGTTTTAGAAGCTGAAGAGCCAATGGATGAGTGATAACTAACTTGACATATCTCAGAGGACAAAAACTTAAAGACTGTAGAGCTTAGGGACTTCCCTGGTGGTCCAGTGGGTAAGACTCCATCCTCCCAATGCAGGGGGCCTAGGTTCGATCCCTGGTCGGGGAACTAGATCTTGCATACATGCCACAACTAAGAGTTCGTGTGACACAACTAAGAAGTCTGTGTGCCACAACTAGGAAGCCCTCATGCCACAACTAAGAGTACATTGCTGTACCTAAACAATCCCGCATGCTGCAACTAAGACCCAGAGCAGCCAAAATTAAAAAAAAAAAAAAAAAAAAAGCAGAGTTTATCCATCAAGAAATAAGTTGCCCTGCACCAGAGAGCTCTGGAAAAGTTCAAGAAATTGGAGGCGCTACATACCTCTGGAGGATTGGATGACTTTTTTTTTTTTTCCGGCCATGCCACGTGGATTGTGGGATCTTAGTTCCCCAACCAGGGATCAAACCCGTGTCCCCTGCAGTGGAAGCTCGGAGTCCTAACCCACTGGACCACCAGGGAGGTCCCTGGATGACATTCTTAAAAGGAGCAATCAGGTGCTCTAGCTCCTTTCTTTAAGCCTACACTGCCAAATGACTGTCTCTTCCCCACCTCATCAAAAGGCTAGAGGTTTATTCTCTGGAGAAATTGCACTGTGCAGGCTCTGGTTTCATGTTCATGAGGCATGGCTGAGAGTAGGGATGAGACATGTCATGCTTAAAACAAGAAATAAGTGAAAATTGTCATACTGTTGGGGAAGACTCCTATCCCTCTTATCAGTTATGGCATCCAAGCTTATACTCCCCAGGCAGGAGATTAGAGATAAATTCCTCAGGGAAACTGACCAACCCGAAGAAGAGACACTTGGAGGCCCCTCTTAAAACACCTAGGTCACCCTAAATTGATACCCACCTGTTATGAACCAGAGCTGCTCATAATTATCTGAATACGTTATTGTGAAATGACTAGTTATTTTGGACCAAGGACTCAATTCTACTCTAGTCAGTCAGTGCCTGGTCACATTCCACATACCTAAATTGCTTCCCCAACCTTAGCCAGTTATGGAGAATATCTGCTTTAGGTTCCAATATAGATCAGACCAGAGTGAGTGGATGAATCAGAATAAGCGTTACTGCCACTGGGAAAAACAAGCAAAGCAGACACCTAATTCAGTGGCATTGTATTTATACAGAATGACAGTAATTGATTAAAAATAGGTGGATATTGATTTTCAGACAACTAAACATGCCTTTTTTTCTCTGGTTCACACAAATTTTCTGCCTTACTAGCATCTCTATTCAGTATAGAAGGATTTTTGGGAGCAGAACATGGATCAGATCTTGCTTTTTTCATTTTGAAATGAATTGTTGTCTTTTAAAATTAACTTTAAAATTAAGCAGATTATTATCGACTAGTAACAAAAACTGGGTACACTCAGTTAAAACATCAAAGAAGTCACTAGAAGGTAAGCTCCATGAGGGCAGGGATTTTTGTCTGTTATATACACTGCCATATCCATAGCACCTAGGCCGGTGTCTTTCATGTGGGAGGAGCATGTTAGATATTTGTTGAATGAATAATGTCATCAGGAATTAGAGGAAGCTATGTTTTCTGAAAATTTATTTCACAATGCACCTATAATTAAGTGAAATTGTAGGAAGCTCTGGAAGAGAAAACAAAAGGTTAAAGAGAAAGGTGGCATTCTAGCTTTGTTATCTTCAAAATTTTGCTTCATACCAGCAAAGATTTTGAAAAACCATAGATACCCTCATGCATCAATTATTAAGTTAATCTTTAAACTTTTTACTGTTAAATTTAAATAGTTGCAAAGGATGCAATTTTCAATGTATTAAACATTGACATTTTTTAAAAAAGCATTACAAGATATAATTGGCATATAACATTGGCTAAGTTGAAGGTAGCCAATGTTATATGCCATTTTAAATATATCCAAGGGAATCTAATACCATAGTAATTTAGTATTCTATTTTACATAAAAAGTACAGAACAAGTATAGACTTCCCTGGTGGTCCAGTGGTTAAGACTCTGTGCTCCCACTGCAAAGGGCGGGGGTTAGATCTCTGGTCAGGGAACTAAGATCCCGCATGCCGCATGGCGCGGCCAAAAGAAGAAAAAAAACATACAGAGCAAGTTATTCCTGTACTGTTTGAAATTTTATATTTCTTTTTCTTTTCAAATTCATATGTCTGTTCTATCTCCCCCAGAGAATTGTGTCCTAATAACATTTTATTAATCATCTTATCATACTTTGCTGCATTGAAAATATAGTGTACATATAAATCAAAATTATTTTTTATTTCTTGTGAACACATGGATTTGAATGCTCAATTTTACAGTTTTCAATAAACTTTTGGTAAAAATAAATGAAAATGGATTCTATTTTAGGTTAGAATAAATGTTTAAGAAAAAATGGACATCAGGGATCATGAGTCACTTAAAGCCTTTATCTTAAAAGATAGAGACCAAATAAAACAAACAGAAACAACATGGTAGTCACTGAAATAATTTAAACTATAAAAACAGGAACATTCCTAGAACAGTAATGCTAAGTGAGATGCTTTAGAAATTTAAACTTTGTTAGATATAGTTTAGGAACTCTCCAAGAAAGTAGAATACAAAGATGAGTAGGAAAATGGGAGAGAGGTGATAAAAATTTAGAGGATTTTCTCAGGAGGTCCAATATCTGGCTAATTTCAGAAGGAGCAGTAGAAAAATGAAGGGGAGGAAATAATGTAAACAGTTTTCTTTTTCCTTTTTTTTAAATCTATCTATCTATCTATCTATCTATCTATCTATCTATCTATCTATATTTTTTGGCCATACGTGGGCCTCTCACTGCCGCGGCCTCTCCTGCTGCAGAGCACAGGCTCTGGACGCGCAGGCTCAGCGGCCATGGCTCACGGGCCCAGCCGCTCCGCAGCATGTGGGATCTTCCCGGACCAGGGCATGAACCCGTGTCCCCTGCATCGGCAGGTGGACTCTCAACCACTGCGCCACCAGGGAAGCCCGCTAATCTATATATTTTTATTTTTGGCTGTGTTGGGTCTTCTCTGCTGTGTGTGAGCTTTCTCTAGTTGCAGCGAGTGGTGGCTACTCTTCATTGTGGTGCGAGGGCTTCTCATTGCGGTGGCTTCTCTTGTTGCAGAGCACAGGCTCCAGTCGGGTGGGCTCAGTAATTGTGGCTTGCAGGCTCAGTAGCTGTGGCGCATGGGCTTAGTTGGTCCACGGCATGTGGGATCTTCCGGGACCAGGGATTGAACCCATGTCCCCTGCATTGGCAGGCAGATTCTTAACCACTGCGCCACCAGGGAAGACCCTAAACAGTTTTCTAGTACTGAAAAATATACATTTCCATGGGCATTCCCTGGTGGCCTAGTGGTTAGGATTCCAGGCTTTCACTGCTGTGGCCCAGGTTCAATCCTTAGTTGGAGAACTGAGGTCCTGCAAGATGCGCGAATACACACATACACACACACACACACTCTCTCTCTCTCTCTCTCTCTCTCTTCCAGATTGGCAAGGACCATCCAGTGGTGTGCTGGAGCTGGCTCATTCTGGCTTGTGAGAGCCAACTGTTAAAGTTTCAGGAGTTTCTGCAAGCTGTTAAACACAGCCATTATTAAAAATTAATTATTTTGGGGCTTCCCTGGTGGCACAGTGGTTGAGAGTCCGCCTGCTGATGCAGGGGATACGGGTTCATGCCCCGGTCTGGGAGGATCCCACATGCTGTGGAGTGGCTAGGCCCGTGAGCCATGGCTGCTGAGCCTGTGCGTCCGGAGCCTGTGCTCCGCAACGGGAGAGGCCACAGCAGTGAGAGGCCCGCGTACTGCAAAAAAAAAAAAAAAAAAAAATTATTTTCTAATTATTAATTCATAATTGTTTTACTGTCATACTCTTGAGGTTATTTGTATCTATTTTATCTGGTAAAAATATTATATAGTGATGTGCTACTGCTCATCTCTTGACAACTCTGCATTCAGTGATGTCACTTTGGTACCTTGAAATTGACCACAGCAGGAGGATTTACACCACAGAAATTGGCAGGCACTG